CAAATTGATATTATCAGTTGTAAAACACAATTAATAAACATCTGTCTGTATTTTGAATTAGTTTTTTGTTTGGTTGATTTGATAAATGTAAAGGATTTGTTGCTGTAGTTTACTAGGACTTCAGTTTGCACACATGCTAATTTTTTAATTTTTTAATTTTGATTTTTTTTTGTGTATGAACTGTTTTGTAACTTGTAAACGTGAAAACATATCCCTATTTTCCTTACAATGTATACAAATAATATCATCATATTATAAATTCTATATAGAATCGTTTTAACATTAGATTGGATTTTTCTTTGAGTGTTTATTATACTTTCTATACAGGTTTCAAATTATCTTAAGAAAAAGAAAAAAGAAAAAGTAAAAAGTAAACCATCCTACATTTTGCTATGTTCTCTACTGAATTATGCAAACAAAATCTTTTTCTTTTTCTTGTTCTTTTTTTCTTTTTGATTGAGAACAAACTAATAATATCATCTTGTATTCCCTTAACATGTCTAAGTATGCAATTCGAGTTTAAAATTACTACCGTAATTATGTCTTACAAACTACTTATTAAACTTTATAATATAGTGTACCTTTGAATAAACATTTATTTGATTTTATTACTGTAAACTCTATTTGATTTCAAAATAAGAAATATACATATGATTTTTAGAACTCATTGAATTACAAAAGTTGATACAAAAAATCTGTTATTAATTGTGAATGGGATTGCATGTATGTATGTAAAAACTCGTGGTAATATTAGAAAGAACTATTGTCAATACATAAAATATTGTATCCAACATTAATCAGAGTAAATTATGTATGTTACAATTATTTATTTATTCATTTGTGTACCCTGTAGAATTACATTGTAATATGCAAAATCTAATCAAAATTATAAATTTCACTAAAATAAGAATGTATGTGTAACAAAAATATACAAAGTATATTCAAAACTATATATTTGTTGAACCAAGATGTATAAATATAATTTGGTCATTATTATTTTATTTGGTCTTGATTTTGAATGTGTAAACATATTGACCAATCATATTATTTTTTAAAAATTGTTTTCTTAAAGTAGAAATGGTGTTGCCAACATAAAATATAAATATTGGTTGATCAATTTTTTTTAAATGAATAAAAGAAAATGAAAAATCATAATATGGCACTTACATTTTGAAGTGTGCCTTTAAAGGTATCATGTGTAATTTCATATATATGTACATCTACGTGTTTGTGTGTATATGTATACTTATTTTTCTATCTATCTATGTATCAATATATATATATATATATATATATATATATTAACAGAAAAGAAATAGAGAAAGAAGAAGTGGGATAAAATCATTGACTGAATATGAGTTGGTAAAAAATCATTTGGCACCAAAAAATTTGGTTGCAACTTTTTTTAAAATTGAATGTTTTTCTAATATCATGCAGGGTTGTTATTATATGTCAAATTAAGACTAAATTCATCATCAGTATAATGAACAATCCCTTTAAAAAAACGAAAGACTCGTAGGAATACACACACACACACACACCTATGCATATATGATACGTATTGTAACATATCCAATCTTGTATTTCACATTTGTTTTTCTAATATTTTGTAAGACGCTAACAACTGAGATAGATATTCCTTAAAAGCCTAAAAGTCTGTTTAAAAGTGGTCACAGTGTACACAAGATGTTGAGATTCATTAAAGAGGAAAAGTTGCACACTGATGAATTTAAAAAGTCATAAATTCGAAAAAGGTTTCATGAAGGGCGGGGGCTTTTATAAATTAATGAAGGGTGAAGAATATTGAGTGACCTCGAAGTGGGGGCAACTGAAGTAGTAAGTACACTGATTAGTAAGTAGTAGTTCCTTTTTATTTATTTATTTTTGAATGGCTTTATTCTTACTTTATAATTTTTTATAATATCACACGTGGAATGTTCGGGTGCCGGGCTGGCGAGGGCAGAGAGCAAGGGTTACAAAGCATGTGAAATTGTACAGTACCAGGCTTAAGCATGCCACCCGGTACCAGAATGGCATTGTGGCTCTGCCCCCCTTGCCCTCCTGCCCTAACTGCCCTTGCCCAGACTGCCCCCTGCCCCTGCCCGCTGCCCGCTGCCCCTTGGCCCGTGCCTGCTACAACCAGCTTTTGTCCCCTGGCTGTCCTTCCTTCCACCCTACAGCTTCGTTCACACTGTCCTCCTTTGTGTCAGTCTTGCTGACGTGGAATTCTGACCTGGCACGACCCCCCAACCAACCCCCTTTTCTTTGTTTCCCCTTGAAAGATCAGATCGAATGTTGCTAACACATTCTTTTAATGTTCCATCTCTCAATTATGATGATATCAACTAGTGTCGTGTTTTTTTTAAATCAATTCTAATTACTCCGTGTTGAAAGTTCATCACTGTGTGTATGTATATATATATATATATATATATATAGGGATGAATCGTTTCTCAATGGTTGATATTAGAAATCAGGATTTGAAAACTAATTTTCTTTAAGAAAGTGAATGATTAGTGAGTCATGGTAAGGTGTGTTATTATTTTTGGACAAATGTAAAATGATATTATTCTGACTTGATTCAAATTTTGAGTAATTTATCATGTATTACATTGTGAAAGTCGTGTGTATATTTTCCAATTGTGTATGTGAATGTATTGGACAATGGAGGCCTGTGTTTTTTCTAGTATATATATATGTATATTTTTTTAATGCAGTGTGGCTCTTTTTGTGCATTTGAGAATGTGAAAGCATCTCCCTCTATTCATCTACTAAGTGTGTCACAAAAAGATTTTTCCATCTACTTCTTTTGTCTTTTCTTCTTTTTGTAAAGAAAGTAAGACCATGGAATTAAGTGAGCTTGTTTACACATTAGATTAAAAGCAATTTTCTACAACAAGATGAGAACCTCCATTTTTTTTAATAATAAATTGATGGCAATAACATTAAGAATAATAAAAATAATAATATCAACAACATAAACAAAATAATTACAAGATGATGAATTAGACAGTAAAAAATCATTCCAACATCTCCATTGTCAAACGAAGGATGAACAGACATGTGTGTTGAAACTGTGGATGTTTTTTCATGGATGAGGTTTTTGACGTTACTACCTTCGGTACAAAACCAACCCAGCTAGACAACAAACTCACACCAAGTCTCAAGGACAAGGGAGGGAGAGAGAGAGAGAGAGAGAGAAAGGGAATTAGGGTTTGGGGGAGAGAAGGTGCATGATTTCACTCAGAATGTGGGGATTCTAATTCCAGGTTGTGAAGGAAGGGGCTGGGCTGGGGGGGGGGGCTCTCACTCACACACACAGATGTGGTGAACGAACACCATGGGGTACAAAGTGGGGGAACAGGGAGGGAACATGAGGAACAGGGAGGGAACATGAGGAACAGGGAGGGAACATGAGGAACAGGGAGGGGGAACGGAGTGGGGTGGGCGGCCATGATCATCTGGGGGAGTGGGGGCAGCCAAATGAAGGGGAATCATGGGGAAGAGCTGATTCAAACTATGTTGTGGACACCACTCCATGATTCTGACAAATGAGCGAATTGCCTTGAGGGAGGGAGGGAGGGAGGGACTCTATCACCTCCTCTTGCACACCCCCCCCCCCCATTACTTCAACATCTTTCAAACAAATATATTAACAAAGAATAACAATAATAATTATGATGAGTGAAAGAGTATGTTTGTGTGTGTGCGTGCATAAGTATGTGTGTATATATATATATATATATATACATATACACACTCATATAGCCAAATGTCTCATTAATACATAAATATACCGTTTGAGAAAGAGAGAGAAAGAGAGCGAGATAGGAAGGCTTAAATTAATATTGTTTTATGGACAGAAAGGATGATGGCAAATAATTTGACCAGTTGCTTACTATGAAATTTGGGTTGTGTGTAAATTTGTGTATACTGCACCAAGGAAGTTCTAGATAAAGTGACTTCCACATTAAGGTATTATTGTATTGGACATGCTTATGTTTATGTTATGGTTTGTGAATTTGGATGTTAACACTCAAAGCTTTAGACTGAAGTGCCATACAAAAATATGAATTGATTTTCATTTTGTATCTTTCAAATTGTTCAGTTGTTTATATTTTAAGAATGCTGTACATTATTATTATTAATATTATTTTTTATGGTTTATTATTATTGTTATTATTTAGAACAATGAAAGGAACTCAATTATTGACAAGTGTCTAATCATACATGAAATGATAATTTCTGGCTAACTTTATCTGGAACTCTTTATAATTTTTTGATTGACTTAAATCTGATATATATATATATATATATATATGTGTGTGTGTGTGTGTGTGAATGAATTTAATCCAGACAATTATTGGGCCCTGAATGACATCCATAACTACAGAGTCAAATACTTGCTTTGCCTTAGTGCACCACATCTGGTATAAGGGGCTTACCAATTCCTTATTTTGAGAGAAAACTTTGAAAAAAATCAAAAAATGCATGATTTAAAAATAACCCACCTCTAATTACAGAAACTACATAAATAGTCTAATAAAATACATGACCACAGCTAATATGTTTTTTGCAATGCTATAACAAGCTCATCATTTGGAACTCAAAGCAGAAATTGCTACACAAAAATCCTGTTCCCTTCACATTAATTTTCATCACAAGTACAGCCTGATTTGTTTTTAAAAACTGTCTGATTAACCAAAAAAATACATGAATTCAATGATATATTGATCGAGAGACATTGTGTGTATGTGTGTGTTTTGCTTCACCTCCACATCAATCCCCATAATGAGCCAGCACGGGCAGCTCAGCTTGGAGCAAAGCACACAAGGAACAGCGTTCGCATGCATGGGAACGGGCGAGGCCCAGGCACAGGGGCCTATCCACCGTGACGCTCGCTGGCGCGCGCGCGCGTTCGGGCGACGTGGGCGGGGTGGAGAGTGGGCTTGCTTGGGGGAGGGAAGGGTCGCAGCGCGGTTCAATCTCCTTGGCACTCACTCACTCACTCACTCGCTCACTCTTCTGAGCAGCAGCTGAGAGGGGGCTGCCGTCCACTGCGTTGACGTCGCTGCGTCGCGCCTGCCTGCGCTGTCCTATCCTCCTCCTCTTCCTACTTCCCCTCACCTCCTCCGCCTCTGCGCTCTGTGCACTGTCCCTTCCATGTCGTGCCAGGCTCTGCGGAGGGTGCGGCCAGGCAGGCAGCTGTGATGGCGGTGTTGTACTGCCGCATGATTCTGGACCAACCGGGCCAGGGCGGGCGACTGTTACTGCAGACTGTTACTGACTCCTGAGGGCGCAGCAGGCTGGTGAGAGGGACGGCCGCGGGTGGGGCGGGGCGAAGAAGAGAAAAAGGTGTGTAGGCGCGGGAGGCGTGCTTTGTATGCGCACTACATGCCTTGAGCCTGGTGGTTGTTCATGACACTGTTCATCGCAGTATTCTACAACGACATCGTCCCCAGCTGGTAGTAGTATTGCAGTTGTATAAGTTGTCGCTGCAGCCAGGCGCCGCCAGTCAGCATCTTCTCGTTAGTGTTCAGTTAGTAGTTGAAGCGAGGGAGTATATTCCGCCTTCGATTTTTTGTTTCTCAGGGAGTCACAGCGCTGCGAATCAGAAGCCTGTGAGAGCTTTGGGAACTGGTTTTCGTGTTTTAGAAAGCGAGGCCAACGAGAGAGCGAGATCGAGAGAGAGAGAGAGCGCGAGCGACAGCATGTCACGCATGAGAGGAGAGAAGAACAGAGGACGGAGCAGGGCTGGCCTATTGGTGTTACAGGAAGGGGGTTGCAGGAATTTGTAGGCGTGGCCGTCACTGTTTGGTTTTTGAAAGCTAGTGCTGCGACAAGAGATGCGGGTGGTCCTAGCTTGAGTACTTGTGCTAGGCGTCTGAGGCGTGAAGTTTCGGCTAGCTGATTGCAAATTCAGTAAGATTGGAGAGGGCAATGGCTGACGGTCCGCATCCATTCGTACAAGAATGCCTTCTTCTTGAAAAGCTGGTTGATCCTCGTCGTTGTAATCCGACGGTGCGGCTACGGAGCTAAAGTTCAAACGCTTAGTCTCTTCTTTTCTGGTGTGAAGTAGGTGGAACGGAGTTTCTATTGCGGGGAAAAGAGACAACCATGGCGGGCGAGAGGTGCTTCGAAGCAAGTAGCAACTTGGTAAGGCTGGAGTAAATTGAAGCGGCATTTCTACTTCTTCCTCGTGCATCCTAGGAGCCCTTATTTCTGGAGTGCTTCTATCTGTCGTCAACGTGAGTAGTTGATGTAGTCGTGTGACAATTAGTCCAAAACCCTTGCAACTTCTTAATCGGGCAGGGACTCTCTACGACACTGACAAAGGTTTGTATACCTCGGCGTTTTTACCATCGACGACAAGACGCAGGTGGCAGTTTGAATCCTGCGAGGTGCGTTGACAATGTGAGGTTCAGTGTTGGCCTGAGGAATCCGGAAAGCGAGCTCATAGTGGCTGCTCCGATGTTTCACATGGAGAACGACCATCACACTTTCGGCTCGTGCATGGAAAAGGTAGTCTACATGACGACAGATGTAGGAACTACTTTGTAATGCTCTTCAGAATCGCGTGCGTGTGGCATGAGATCTGAGAACAATGCGGTAGTTACGAGCAGAAAGCTTTATTCTCATAATGTATGGAGTTAAATGAGCCTGGACTTCTATATATATGTCACAGCGTTTGCTTGCTCAGCATATACAGCTGCAGTTCAGGATAACGCTTGATTGGTGAATCTTTTGCGGGACTGTTGGTGCGGGTATCTGGATTATGTGAGGATGAGAACTCTCATGTATCCCGATCATACGGAGTCTACGGTCTCGATCTTTTGGGATTTTGAAGGGTAACTGGGCCAACCTCTTCGCACGGAGTGGAGGGACTCACTTTAGCTCTTTCGAAGTGTTCTGGTGATTATGAAGAGAATCCTGCAATCATCCGGCAACATGCTGGACATGCAGTCTCTCCACTTTGCATGGACTCGAGACTTTGTTCTTCAAATAAAGGAGCTGCGCTTGTTACCAGACAACGTGGTTCCTTCAGGATGCGATCTAGATTTCTCCAGTTCACCAAGGACTGGTATTGCTTTGAGGTCTAAGTTGGTCCCAAGTGGTATGCGCAATGCAGCTTAGATTCTTCTGGAACAGCCTAGATTTCACAGTGGTTGTCACAAATCTCACGTTCCTATGAATTGAACGGAGTCCGATCCAAAGTTCCATAGTAATATTGGGGTTGTTTGGTTGTTAGTGAAGCCACTACTCAACCCCGATACAACTGAACTAAATCGGGGTTACTGAACTTTTGTATCAAGCTCTTGGTTTTGAATATTTAAAGATGCTAGCTGTGTAACTGCGTTAACCGTGCCACTTTTCCTAAAATGCAGGTAGATCCTGATAAATACAAGGGCATGGATTCCTCTGGAAAGTATGTGCGCTACACCAACGAGCAAGTGGAAGCACTGGAGCGCGTATACCACGAATGCCCTAAACCAAGCTCAATTAGGCGTCATCAGCTGATCAAAGAGTGTCCAATCCTGGCGAACATTGAGCCTAAGCAGATCAAAGTTTGGTTTCAGAATCGTCGGTATGTATCCGTGTCCTTCGCCAGATTCTAGGAGAGGAAAATTGTTTGGGCATAAACCTCGTATAGAAGTTCGTTCGATCTTGAAATCTTTCTCAAACGGAGATTCTGGATGACATGCACGTGAAGTTGATTCACTATATTATGTCGCCTCGAATTTCACTTCGTATTGAGCCATCTCATGTTTTATTCACTTCTGTCTTGAGATTGTCATACGTGCCGCTCCGTGATGTGCGGATAGGTGGACAGGTGCACAACATGATAATCCATGTTGTGGTCGAGGGGTAGGGGGGTGGTACACGACACAATTAATTGAAATGAGTGGAGAGTGTATTGCAGTTGTCGGGAGAAGCAACGGAAGGAAGCAACGAGGCTGGTGAGCGTGAATGCTAAGCTGACAGCCTTGAATAAACTGCTGATGGAGGAAAATGAGCGATTGGCGAAGCACGCTTCCCAATTGACTCTGGATAATCATGCCCTGCGACAGCAGCTACCTAACTTACCGGTGCCTGATGGGAAGTGTCGCCTTTCTGGTCAGGTGAGTCTCTCTGATGGACACTATCTGCGAAAGAGGAATTGGAATCTGAAGGTCAAAAGAAGAAGTCTTTATAACTAAGATGTGGACTTGGTAAATTGTGACCCTCGAACTTATTTTTTTAGGTTGCAAGGCATTGTAAAAGATGTTGTTAATTGTGCAGTGGAGAATTCTGCCAATAATGTTGTATGTACTATACTGCAAGTGCAGGCTGGTGTGGCTTCAACAGATACTAGCTGCGATTCTGCTGTCACTGGTGGACTTCCTCAGCACCTTACTTCGCAGCATTCTTCTCCAGATGCTAGCCCTGCAGGGTAAACCATCGTTTCATTTCTGAATATACACTCCAGTGAATAAAGTTGAATATCTGTGATATTGCTAGAATGTGTTATAAGTCCAAGTGCTTTTCCTTTAGTCTGCTCTATCCTGTGAGGCATTCCTTCTGTTTCTATCTGTGAATAGGAAGCAAGCCAGCGCATGACTTTGTGTGGAAGGTAGTCTCTAGTAGGCATGTCGCTTATTTGGTCGGACACTCCTTCTGACAGATTGCTTTCTATGGCGGAAGAAACATTGACGGATTTCCTGGCGAAGGCAACGGGAACCGCAGTGGATTGGATACAGTTACCTGGTATGAAGGTATGGATGCCATGCCTTCCTACGGCACGTTCTACAGTGTATTGTGGAGTAGCGAGCCTCACCTGTAACTCTTGATCTATAGATTCCATTATCAGAGATATGATCGCACGAAATAACTCTTTGTTCCAACCTTTTGTAAAATAAGTATTAGCGGAGTCATGGTACTGGAGCAAAGTCAAACAAATTAATTTGACTCAAAACACGACTTCGAATTAATTTAGGAGCTAACAAGGTAATGATATTGATTCTTTAATTCAAATTAAAGTGGTTGATTGCAAATGCCATTGCTGATACGTCACTAGTGCAATGCAGCCTGGTCCGGATGCCATTGGCATCATTGCTATATCCCATGGTTGCGTGGGCATAGCAGCTCGAGCGTGCGGCCTTGCGGCGCTCGATTTTAGCAAAGTTGCGGAGATCCTGAAAGATCGTCCTGGTTGGTCGCAAGATTGCCGTCGCATGGAGGTTCTTGGAACTCTCCCGACAGGAAACGGTGGCACTATAGAGCTCTTGTACACCCAGGTACACCGGCTCATGCTTATGATTTCAATTGACTGCCACTTTGTGTCAGGTGGAACAACACCCATCACATGAGTCTCACCGTTTTTGTAAATGATCATTGAAGGAGTTGAAACTTACTGTTCGAATGTTCAGTCCAGTCTGGTCTACTCACATGATGAGCACTGAGGGCTGTTAAGCATTGCAAAACTTGACACGGTGATATAATGTCAGATGTATGCTCCAACAACTTTAGCACCTGCTCGGGATTTTTGCACCCTTAGATACACTACTCTTCTGGAGGACGGGAATCTGGTGGTGAGATGCTTCATGTGGCCATGCTTTTCTGGGGTGTTTCGCCTTGTTGTATAGGTCATGAATTCACATTGTGAATCTCTTGGATTGCTGTGGGCAGATTTAGTTCAGGCGTAGGTGCATTTCAAGAAGGCTTGACAAGGTTTTGATGTGCAGATCTGTGAGCGGTCACTGACAGGGAAGCACAATGGGCCGACAATGCCTCCCGTACAATCATTCATCAGAGCAGAAATGTTTCCAAGCGGGTACTTGATTCGTCCATGTGAAGGAGGAGGGTGCATCATTCATATAGTGGATCACGTGGAGTATGAGGTGAGCTTTTCATGGTCTCATATTTTCAGTACACGAGGGTGCCTTGGTACGACGATGCGTATTTAAAAATTGATTACAATGTGTTGACGAAGATGTTGATATTTGTTCTTCTGTTGGCTGGGCGGTTGCTGCAGCCTTGGAGTGTACCAGAAGTGTTGCGGCCCCTGTACGAGTCTCCAGCTGTCCTTGCACACAAGTCTACAATTGCGGTAAGGACTACCGTCCGTACTTGTGTGTTTTCTTACAGCGAAAAAAACCTTGAAGGTATGTGTGTTTGTGTGTGGTCAGGTTTTCTTGGGATTTAGTACAGGTTTAATCAGTTTTTGGAATGGATGAAGGCATTGCGATATTTGAGGAGAATAGCAGCAGAAGAGAGTGGGGAGATCATTATCCGGAATGGGCAACACCCTGCCGTAATTCGAACTTTGAGCCAGCGCCTTACCAAGTAGGTGTTAAAAGCTGTGAATGCAGATTAATTTTATTATTTCTATTTTTTTTTATTTACCCCAAGGATAGAGTGCACGCTAGATTTCGTGGGAAATGACCTGCCTGCTTCACAACCGCAGGGGCTTCAATGACGCTGTGAATGGTTTTGGAGACGACGGGTGGGTTCCAATGGAAAGCGATGGTATGGATGACGTGAGCGTAATGTTGAACGCGACTCCGAAATCTATGGAGGGGCAGATTGCAACAGATAAGCTTCTGTTTTCTCTTGGCGGAGGCATACTATGTGCGAAGGCCTCCATGTTGTTACAGGTTCTCCTTCAGGCATTCGCTTCTGTTTTTAAGCCCTTGGTACTGGCACGTGGCATGAGTGTTCGGTATCTTTTAATGTGGATTTACTAAATTCTTCGAAGTATGTAGAGGCGGGTGAATGTTTGTTCAAAATTTTTCACTCGAAATTTGGAGATGAAATGGTGCCTGTGTCTTGTTTTCCAGAATGTACCGCCGGCATTACTCATACGATTCTTGCGGGAGCATAGATCAGAATGGGCAGATCATGAAATCGACGCAAATGCAGCCACAGCATTTCGAGGTGCCAGCAATGGTCATGTTTCACGAGGACGCATGTCGCATGTGCAGTTGCCACTGCCTCTGGCTCAATTTGGAGAACAAGGGGAGGTAGGTTTCGCTTTCATGATATTTGTTTCGATTTGTTTTGCGTGAAGCTAAAGGGATCAACACCTCAGTCGAAAGTTTTCACTGGACAGGTAAACTGTAGAGCTAGAGTATCGCAAAAAGTGAGCCGTTTAGTTTCATTGGCTATTTGCATCTGTAGATTGTCATTGTAAGTTCATGGTGCACCATCTTGAAGGTCTTTGATTGTTGCACAGTTTCTAGAAGTTGTGAAGCTGGAAGGGCACAGCGCAGTGCAGCATTCGGTGCTTTCGCGGGACAGTTTTCTTCTTCAGGTGTGTACCTATTTTATTCGCTCGGTTTGCAGAAATGACTCTCCAGCGGGGTTCTAGTGTAGAGGTTTTACATTACCTGATCCAATTTTTTAGAAGATTCTAAAGATAGCCGGTGCAGACGCATTCATGGAAGCTCTCTAATTAGTGCTTGGAGACGCAAGTGTTAAACCCATTACTGACTGGAACACAAGATTGTACAAGAAGAAATGATCCACCGAATTGGTAATATTTTTGAACAGCTATGCAGTGGAATTGAGGAGGGCGCCGTTGGGGCCGGTGCACAACTGGTTTTTGCTCCCATAGATGCGGCTGTGTCGGAAGACATTCCTCTTCTTCCTTCAGGCTTTCGCGTAATTCCCGTTGATAGCAGTGTTGTGGTGAGCGTTCCAGGTCCTTACAGTGACATGCTTGTAGTTGCTGCATGACAGTGGTAATTGTGCCTGGAAATTTTGTGAAGGAAGATTGTGGTGTTGAAGAGAAGTTGGATTGTAGTAAGATGGAGTGATTGAAGTGCAGGACGGAATCGGGCTGAATCGTACACTTGATCTGGCTTCCACACTTGAAGATCACGAGGCAGGATTGAATGGAGAGAGCAAGTCTAATGGCAGCTCTAGCCAAGTGCGATCCGTTCTGACAATAGCTTTTCAGTTTGCGTATGAAGTTCATACACGCGAAACATGCGCAGTGATGGCCCGCCAGTATGTTCGCACAGTGGTTGCATCCGTGCAGCGGGTTGCCATGGCTTTGGCACCGTCCCGTGGTCAGCCCCGTCCAGCACTGGGCAACTCAGATGCCATCAGTTTGGCGCGTCACATCCTGAGCAGCTACAGGTACTGCTTTTTATTTTCCTCAGGATGATTTCTGTGAGCAAGCATAGTTTTGAGCAGTTGGTGTTTAAATCATTAGAAATGAAGGGGAGTGTAGAGTTTCTTCAGACAAGCTTGCTTTAAAGCGGCTCTCGGAATCGTCGAATGTGCATTCCAAATTAATCTACTGTTTATGCAGTTGATTTTCAATATATGATGCTAAATACCCTCGGGTTTATGAAAGCGTCTCATTGTACGAATAAGCATAAGAGGTTTTGGCGTGCAGAGTACAATTGGGCATGGATCTGGTTAGGCCCGAAGTTGGAGGCACTGAAGCTCTATTTAAGGTGTTCTGGCATCATTCGGATGCCATAGTGTGTTGTGCATGGAAGGTAAGCTGTTACACTCGTTTATCGAGAATGGTAGAAATTTCACATGAGAACTTCCTCGAAACATACTATATGTTGTTAGGCGGCCTGTTGTGTGTGTTCTCTCTCGTCTCTATCTTTTGGTCCGCTGCTTAGTCTTTTTCAATTTCATGCATATCTTTAAGTTTGCAGATTCACATTCAATACTAACTATTTTTGAAATTAAAATTTTCTTGTCCGTTCAATTTATGATCTGAGAAACTGGATGTGGTACAGGGTACGCCAGAGTTTGTTTTTGCCAATCGAGCAGGTCTAGAGATGTTCGAAACTACATCAAGCTCTTTACAAGACCTGGCATGGGATAAGACATTAGACGAAGATAGCCTAAAGCTGTCGTATGCTACTTTTACTCAGGTCCTGCAACAGGTATGATGCGAACTATTGTCGAGTAAACGGTTAACAGTTAGCTTGCCAATTCAGTCAATCATGCAACTGGTATCTTCCTGTGTAATTACAAGTGAAACATATCGGTACTCGGACGTAAAAGGTAGAAGATGAATATGCAAAAGGTGAAATAGACCATATAACTATACAAATGAACAATTTTTGGCATTACCTTTTGAACGAATGACCAGAGTGTTTCTGATTGTTTGGAACAGGGCTATTGCTGTTTACCATCTGGAGTGCGGATTTCAAGCACTGGCCGCACGGTAACTTACGAGCGAGCTCTTGCTTGGAAGGTGTTGGATGACGATGAGACGACCCAGTGCATCGCCTTTCTCTTCATGAACTGGTCCTGAACTTGAGTTACGGTCCTTGCCATAAAGATTTCTTACTGCTTCTTTGTAATGCTCTGTATTTTGTCTTTAGGATATGGTAAAACATTGCATGGTTTGAGTGGATCATAGAGATGGACATGATGGTGAGAACGCATGTGTGGTAACTCTTTCAGATCGCATGCGGGACATATTTTTGTATTTATGAGCTATATGCAAGTTATTAAGGGTTCAGATTTGCTTGTCCTTACAACCTCTTCGCCATTTTCAGAAACTCCTTGTAATACACACTGGTAATTGCTTTGGTAAGTTTGAGTAGGAAACTTCAACAACTATATAGAGGTGTACGCAATAGACTCTATTAGTCTGCGAATCCATTAGTTTACAAACCCAAAACAGTCATTAGTATGTAATGGCTTGTCATGTCATCTTCTTGGGTATTTTCTAATTATGATACTCGGCAGGGTTGGTATCATGTTCAATGATCCACTTCTAAAATATATTGCTATAATGTGTTTTGGTAACAAAAAAATAATAACAATATGGGTTTATTAACAAACATTATGAACAATATAAATGTCTATTTTTTCAAGACAAAGTAACAGAATTAGAGTCAATTGAGTGATTTGTGGTCACATCATAGTTTATCAAATCAATTGTCAAGTTTTTCAGTCTGGTCCGAAGACTGAGAAAAACTGCAAAGATGCTATTCAACAGGTTCTTGCACCAACTGAACTGCAAAGATTCGAGGCCAACAATACTACGCAATGCTGTCTTTGCACTATCTTTGCAGTACAATAGTTTTGTTGATGCAAGAACCTGTTGGATATTTCATTCGGGGTTAATGAGAGAAATTTATTGGCTTTCGAAGGAGATACTGTCCACGTGGAACCAAAAGCAAGGTTATTCAATCGCAGTAAGAACCATATAGTTGGACAAAACTCTTTCACTAATTTTTTGTACTAATCCAATATCTTCACTTATGCCTACTTTACATATTCAAGCAACATATCAGATCACATGTCAGACATGGTCCAGATCAATTTATGTGCTTACAGACAAAGCAAAGGCAGGCATGATTCAAGTTTCCTATTCGAGGCCGATTCCAATTTCAGGAGTCGTTGTATGTACATTGGAAACAGATACTTCAAGATCAGCTTCCTAGTACAACTGGTTCCAGATCCAGGTGATCATGTGTAGGCTTGTGAGAGTATTTTGCTCGCAAGCCCCCAAAGACGATAGATACCTGCAAGATCAAAAAAAAAAAATAAATAAATAAAAAAAAAAAAAATAGGGGTCAATAGGGTTCACAACTGTGTATTTTCTGTCCTTTGTTGGAGCATAATGTAGACACTCTTGCAATCGGTGGTGATACATTATATATGGGGGTTCTCTGGATGTGGTTGAGGTTTCATCATGCGTTCATATTCTTGACGAAGTTCCTCCAGTCTCTTGGAAACCTGGAATCATACCCTGAATCAATATTGAGAAATATAACTCGAAAAGAGAAACATGCATGTAACAAACCTGACGTTTAGGAGCGAGTAAACCAAATCTTCGTCTGCACAGTTAAAAAAAACCCCGTACGAAGACGCCAGTGCTTTATTAACAGGGTGAATATGATGACATTTTAGATCTCTACCACAAGCGTAGCAGTCAACAAGAGAATGGACTGAAAAGCAGATAAATGAATCAACCTTGATATTGTAAGCTAATGGCAGAAGAACATCAGGCTGCAGAGAATCTTCTGGAAAGTTGCGGAGTGCATGGATTAACTTTTCAAAGGGGAGCTGGACCTGCAGATCACAACGACGCTTGTATTGTTAACGGTTTTACACATAAAGCAGCAGGCATTATCCGTTCATGATGGTAAAATGCCGATCGACTCCATCTCACCATAGAATTACAAAGATCAGCACAATTAAGGAAATCTATGCTCCCACTTTCCAATACAGACCTGAATCAGAGATACATTTATAATGAACACAAGAGTGAACACGATCATGGGTTTGGCAATGGAGACGACCATATAATAATGCTTACCAGGTCGTCCTGGCAATGCCGGAGCAGGGCAATCCCAAGTTTGAAGACAATCTTCACTCCCTATATTCAAAATACATAACATATTAAGTTAATCCTCAACCATATCCAAAGAAAACTTCACACAGAATGGGCAACAAACAAAGGACAAACCTACTGCACACCACACATCATGAAAAGAACATGTAGGCAAAAGAAAAATAGATCCAATACAAAGATGACTGGCATTCCAATAAATCCTTCAATTTACAAGAAATCTACCGAATTGGTGAAAAACAAACTTAAGGACTACACAGAAGTACTTTTAACGAAGAACTCATCAGCCTTGATTTCTAGTAAGAGAATGAGAGATGATTCGTCGCGGACAAAATTGAAACCGGGATGTATCAGCGCTCTCGAAGGAGATTATCCAGACTTCTCTACAAGACATGAACTGGACATTGCAAAGATGCATAACACGTGTAAAGAGCTGCTGAAAGGGAGAGGAAGAGTAAGCAAGAAACCTCGTGTAAGAACACATCCCAAATCCGCAGAGCTAAGGAGAAAGGGAAGGAGTATGAAAAGACGGTGATGAACCATTGACTAGCATACATGCTTGGATTTATCATTTCCTTTTCAAAATGAGCTCCCACTTTTGGCACATGCTCTTTGACCAACCTCTCAAACTGAAAAAGGTACTGCTGAACCAGCGGAAGGCCAACCTATGAAAGAAGAACATGACTTTGAGTATCAGTTTCACGTAATGCTATTCTCGAGAGGAACTCATGCTCTTAAAAAAACTTTCCTATCAACCGCTACATGAGAGAATATGAATCATCAAAACGAATAAAAAGCTAATATCTAATAGTAAATTTCAAATCTTTCCTCAAATCTACGAGGAGATTACGATGCATCTGAGACGAAGTTACATCTGTGATACATGGTCTTACCAAGTAAAGTCCTTCCATTGGTGCATGGACAGCACCTTTAAGCAGAGCAACTAGTAGCCAAAAGGCATCTTCCTCACTCATGTAAAGCAATAGCAACCCTGCTAAGAACCCCATCCCCTACACACATACACACTTACGATAATAATTTAGGTCCACATGAAGTGCTTGATTTCACATTCATAACAGAGTTGGTTTTACCCTATTTAACCATGTAATACACTTCCAACATTCCAAGTAGTCAGAAGATACCACAAAGGGAAAAAAATAAGGGACACAAAAGCGATGAGTGGTGGATAAGATCAACGGAGACCTTTTAAAACTGAAGCAATTCTATGAGATGGGCACCCAAATAAACAATTTTACTACAGAACTAACCCTGTACGAAATTCCTTCATACATAAAACATAAGACTGTCTCAAGCTCAGAGACATAATGGAAAGCATTGAAACAACAATTGAGAGCATTTTGCAATTCCTACCTGCACATAACCGACATCTCGGTCATAAACTGAGTAAGCCTTGAGAACGTTATAGAGAGCTCGTTGTCCAGGTCCGTGTCTCTGCTGGAAAAACACATGTGATGGAAAAGTTCGCGAGATGTCCCTGATAATGTCTAGTTCTGCGGCAGATGTTTCATAGAGCACCAGTTGCTGCAAATCAAATCAAAACACAATTATCAGCACACAATTTGAGGAACATTCGGCGGAATTGGTTTCTAATTCTTTCCTTAAATCAGGTTCTTTAAAAGCGCAAATTAAGATTAATACAAATCCACCCGTGTTCTATTTAGTACACATTCTTATGCATTGGTGCTAACATTTCGTAAAGGAAAACTGTCAACGATCAAAGCTAGAGTCACGTAGAAAACCTCATAAACTCCTTGATTCATGAGCAGCAAATCACGACTGCCCGATATAAGTTGCCAGGCAAGCCCTCGCAAACAGTCTGGAATGCCTTTGCGCACCCGCCGTTTTACAACCTGTGGTTTTCTCCGCACATAGAGCTTCCAATCTGTGCCCCCGACTCCAATCATGTTGCGCCATTTGCGAAGCCTCCGTTCCTCCCTGCAGATGGATCGTAAGTATGGTACGTTACATAATCATCAGGGAACAATTACTCCAATAGGCTCTGACAACCCTCTACGTGATCAACCAAAAGTCACTGAAGACCTTAAGATAGTCCCAATCCAAATGAAAGAAACAAACCTATCCCGCTCACTTTGAGGTCGGCTAGCTTTGGCGGATGCAGGGGATGTAGGTGAAGATTTCAGGGAACTGAATCTGTCGACAGGGCGTGTGAGGGGAATAGGGCCAGACTTGGAAGCTGGCTCATCCGTCTCAGATTGCCGATGCTTCTCATCATCTGTCCTCAAACTATTCATCGTTATCACTGGCTCCCTCCCAACTGGTTGAAGCAGTTCAACATCCTGCTATGTCATGACAATCCTCACTATCATTTCCATGTCGTTTCCTTCAAGAACTAAATACAGAGAAAAGATACAATCAAAACATCGTTAATCCCTCTCCAATCCCCTAATCACAGCAGGAATCTCATTGCGTATGAACCTATATTTACCGAAACAGGGGTCGAACATTTCCTCTCCTACCCTTTACACGATGAACTAGACTTGAGATCGAAAATGCAGCCACATCTCATACCCAACTCCGCGATCCGCTCGAAAACACTCAGAGCACTTGGCAATAGATCGTGAACCCAGATTCGTCAAGATATTAGGGTTTCACTCTTACAGAAGAGACTGAAATCCCACCGAACATGCTTGGCCAACCCCTCTCAAAACACAAATTGCTTCTTCAAAACCTTGAATCATTCACGAGGTCTGTTGATGCCTGACGCAATTCTCAAGCACAACACAATCTAGAATTCTATCGTATTCAAATTGGCATTCCTTCTCACTCTCTTGCAGTCTCTTACAGAGCTACTCACCACAATCATCTAAACCCACCGAAAATGAGAGCAGTCTTAGAGAGCGGCGTGTACCTACGGAATGCTGGATCTAGAACGCGACAAATTGAATGCGATAGCGCAATGCATCGGGGCCTGCGCCATGAATGAGTCCACCAGATGGAATTTCCCGCAACGATTTGCTGAAAATCTTCTCAACCTGCGCTCTCGATACAAGCGTGATGTCAGCTTCCTGTGCCGATTTGTGGCCTGGCTTCGCCGTTTCGCTTTCAGCGAGTGCCGAGCACCCTGGTCCCATTCCTAATCACTCATTAACTAGGTCACTAATTATCTTACTAATCGTTTCACTGATCGCGATCAGTCGCCCAAATGTAAGGCGCATTATCATGATAAGTCACACTATATTTGAAGCGGCGTGAGTGCAGTGAAGTCCGTACTCATTTCCATACTTTCGACAAGAATGGAATGACTTTCCGAATTTGGACGTAATCATTCACACTCTGGTGCATCGAAAGTGACTGTATCTTCATAGAGTTGTATCTTGAAGTTCTCATCTGTGTTGATATTGTTAGTTAATTCGAATTGGAAACGTTTATGCTACATTCACGTTGTGTTGTGCTTCTTTTATCGTTTAACGTGGAATACTTCTGTCCAGGATCAACTTATCTGGTGTGAACTACGCTCCCGACATGAGTCGAACAGCAAAATTGAAACATATTCATAATCCAGTGTTGTGCCTTTTATCTTTTCAATTTTGGGTATAACACTTGGTAACCGAGCATTCACAGTCGTTTTGGAGTGTAGAGGGACACTCCCCTTTGCCTAGTACGACACTACTAAAAATTAAGATGATATGCTTTGTGAAGAAGACTTCTATATATATATATATATATATATATATGACTTAAAGAGGCATTTGTGAAGAAGACTTCACAGTTGAGAGTCTTAGGCAATGTCGTTCAGTTAAATAACCTTGTAAGCTGATTCTGCTGAGCACGTGTAATTGGGTTGAATGATTACAGAAACTTATCAGGTACATACAATGCAGTTGTTCGACAGAAACTCACATCAGATGATATTGACAAAAATTAATCACCATATCGAAACCCCACACCCTAGCCTCATCATCTTAGCCTCATCTTCACTAGGAGGAATTGCACAGCACATCGCACACTAAATGTTGGAGTGGTACCATGATGCATTGCACTGAACAGAGACCAAACACTAACTCCTGAATACTACAAGATGTCCTGCAAGACCTGTCTCTAAAACACACACGAGTTTCAGGATAAAAATTATTCTCCTAGAGGACACTAACACAGGGCCCATGCCTGCACCTGCACACACACAGCAACAACCGCTGCCATCAAAACTATTCAATATTCAGCAACTATCTGACCCAGCAGAACTTCCTGGTTGTCCGATCTCCAACATGTAGAACGCCTCTTCGCTTGCACCTGCTGACTGAGTATCAGCTTCACCTGTTCAGTCCAAAGGGCATGTTAACTTTCAACCTGTGCCTCTAACCAGCAGAATTGGGATCCCTGCAACCTGCAGGTCCACCTTGACACAACTGTGAGCTGGCTTACCATTTTCTTAACATGCACCTGCATTTCTACAATACTCTGCACGCTGTTCACCAGAAAAAAAAAATAGTAGCATGTTGCTCCCCTGACAGCTCACAATTCAAAGAGTGTTCATATCAATAGCAGCTAGACTGCTGCTGCATTGCACCTATACCTGAGACCTGCGCACAAGCTCAGGTTTCTTGTCAGTAAACCGACAAAGACTGCACAGACCACTACGGCTTCCGGTTTTTCTTCCAAAGTCTATGGACTCGAACTTGACCTAACCTCAAAATAATGAGGGGAACAGAGTACAACGAAATACAAACCAGAACAATGGTGCTCCTATTCGTTATCATAAGCTGCAGAATCCCTTCGAGGTGGAGATCCAGCTGGGGCAGATTCGGCTGCTTGACGTTCCTCGCGCTCACGATTCCATTGATCAATCTTAGCCCTCCGCTCTGCAGAGCCCTCGCGTGCGGCCGGACTTCGCCCTCTCCTAGTAGGAGTTCTACTTCTACTTCTGTCTCGTCTCCTGCCTCCATCAGAACGACCCCCACCTCTACGGTCATCGTACCGTCGATCATCCCACTCTTCATATCTTCGACCATATCCTCTACCTCGGCCACCACCACCTCGACCGCCACCACGTCGAGAATCGTAGAAATCCCTGTCTCCGTAACGTCTGGGGCTTGGTGGACCACGGGCTTCTCCACGACCGTAAGGAGAATGACTGCGACTCCTGCTGCGCCTTCGATAGTTCCCGAATAGCTTCCTTCTCAATTCCCTTGAAATCTTCTTTAGATGCATAAAGTTACAATAACCACCTCTGTTGCAAGTGTTCTCTTCGTACTGACGGCAAGTAGCTTCCCGGAAATCTGTCACAGGAGAAAAGTCAAGAATAATGGGTCGCCCTGCATAAAAACGCCCACTCAGGGCATTCAAAGCAGCGGCGGCATGCTCTTCTTCTCGAAACTTCACGTACACATTACCGATCTGCCAAAAAAGGATAAAACATGAGAAACGCCCTCGATAAAGATTCGAAAGGTCAAAAAGTTACAAGTGCAGGAAGTGAAACAGCTCTGAAGACATGCAAGAATAACCAAAAGCTAGGGTCACAAAAGGGAACAACCCTGAGAGTTGACACATTACCATGTGATCAGCAAGGTTGTCGCAAACATTTAGATTCTCAATCTCTCCATACTTGCTAAGCTCCTCAAATATGTCTTCATAAAAGTCCTGCACCAGTGTAAACACAAATTAGCAAATAACACGCTTTAGTGTCGCGGTAAAGTTAAACCAGCTGCAGCACTACATAAAACTATCATCGTTAAGTTTCATGACGTATTTAACATGAACTTACGAGCAAAGCAAGTCTTTTTTCAACTACTTCTCACAACTACCACATCAACAGCCACCGAAAAATTAAGTGTTAAACCAAGGGCACTCCACAAACCTCAAAATGCTCCTGAAGTTTGCGAGGATCCGACTGCTGGATGTTCCCATGCTGATCCACGCCGCCATGAAATCCAGCGTCTGGGGACTGGTACATGTTGGCGAGCAGCAAAGTCTGACTTGCAGTCGGCCGGTTGTGAAGCCGCGAGCACCGGTCGCCATGGCGGCAGACTCCTATCTTGAAGTAAAACGGACAGTTGACACGGTCTTTCTCCGTCCCGAAGATGGACGCAAGATGTTCGGCCATAGCGGGAAAGCTGCAGAGATCCTAGCAGCTATTGAAACGCCACGAGCCCAAGCAGACCTAAAATACACCACGACAGGACCGGCACCTTCTGACCTCACCAACACCGCACCGAGAAAACAATGAACACTGTGTCAAACTCAAAACTACACTAAGAATCAGGCCTGATGAAGACACACGAGACAGAATCAGGGTTTCGCAGCAACGAGGCGCGCCGAGGAGGAGCCACAAGCACCTCGGCGAGGAAGAGAATACATAATGAAGAACGTGGTGCAGTTTGATGCTTGGTTACCCTCCCGGGATGTTGGATGAAAGTCTCTGTCCGTGTAACGAATGAATAAGTTTTGTAGGATGATCCTTGCTAGGGTTGTGGACGAGGTAAACGCGGGTATAGGCACCTTACCTCAGGGAGGTCTCCAAAGTGATCGTATGACCACACACCGTGGATGAACGATAAAAAAGTACATTGCTCGACGAATGATTCTGTGCTTGCTTGATTGATTATTTATTTTTACAACGCTTTGCAGCATGTGGATTATCTACTTGTAAACTAGTCTTCAAAAGCCATATGGCTTTTAATATGGCTTTTTAAGACTAGTTTCTTACTAATTAATTCCGTTTTTAAATTTTTTGTTTTTAAATTGTAGAAGTAACAATATTTTTAGGGATTGTAGATCATTTAAGTTTTGATTACAATTATTTGTACATTTAACTAATTTATTGTGTTTAAAATAATATAAATGTTAAATAGACCCATGCTTTTACTACATTGATCCACCCATGATGAAGAATATGATAATCATAATGAATGTGGTTGGTTTTTATTGGTTGATCTATTAGTAGATAAATGAATCTAAAGGTCTTTTTTTTTTTTTTTTTTTTTTTTTTTATCATGGTTAGGATGGGTGGATCAATTGAGAAAAACCCTAATATTTTTTAAAATGATCTTTAGATTTACAAAATATTTTTTATTTTTTCAAATTTCAAATGCATGTAAATTCTTTTTAATTAAAAAGCATTTTATGTTATAGAGACAAATGATAAAATCAAGTGATAGAATAAAATTAGTAATATAAAAGATATAATATTAATAAAGTTACAATTTTGTTTCACTTTCATTGAATGATTGGTCCTATAACACTTGTCTCTTCCACCATATTGGTGACATTGTGTTATAAGACCAATTGTTTCTATTCGCGACTTTTCATTCAACACATTGCTTAAGGAGACAAGTGGTGGCTTTCTTTCATCACATGCTCCCCTCTTTATTTTTATCATAAGACTTTACGTTATATGGAGTTCCCTTACCTTTAATAAAACTGAAATATTAATAACTTATTGTTTCTGGATGTTAACATGTTGTGACAATAGGTTCAGTATATTGCTTCCCTAACTTAGAGCATTTTTTTGCATTCTTCTTCTTGAGTGATGAATGAGTGACAGAACAAGTGGTGGTTGCTATTTATTGCAAGTGGGTAGCGACCTCTATATCATGATATTAAGCTGTTGCATCCAACTGGCTAGTTGGCTGGACATCATCATAGGTACTTGTGTGGCAAAGCACTAAAGCAAATAGTTGTAATGTGTTATTGGATGGTTTGGAGTTAGGCCATAAAAAGTACCATTATAGTTCCTCACTATAAATACTTGATGATCTTGAAGTTGGTGCTACTAGGAGTGAGAAATGACTGTTGTTGGACTTGGAGAGTTAATATTCTATGAATATTTGTTGAATTTTAGACAAGATCAATACTTATCTACATATTGATTTTTGCTGAATTTAGAAGTACAAAAACGTTACAAAGAATTGACATTTTAAGTTGTGCCCTTGCTTATTTTATAATTCTTGTTGACATATATATTTTTGAATTTGAAAAAACACAATTGCATATTGAGCTGCCACTATTTGAAAGGTAAATTGGCAAACAATGTAGGCTATGTGTTTCCTTTGAATTGATGTAATTTAAATTCAATTGATTCAAATTACTTTAAATTGACGTGCTTTGAATTGATGTGGTCAGTGGCTTGAACAACGAGAATGTGTATGGCATACCAATACAGCAATGAGCAAACTATTTGAACCTACTTAATTTTAGTCATAACAAGTTATACACAATGGCACCATTGAAGTGCTAGCATGGCAAGAGTCTTGATTTTTTTGATTAAATATTTTGAATTCATATATTAAATTATAAGCATATGAATAATAGTTTGAATTACAAGCATTATTGAATTATGTTTTTGTGTGTTTTTAGAGATGATAAGTTTCCATCCATTATCTTTGTCTATATTAATCCATGACAAGGAAGTGCTTGAAGTAGAATATTTAATAGCACTAAACACTTCTTTGTCGATACCATGAACTGACAGGAGCTGAATTCTATGATATGGTTTGGATTCTATTCATGCATCAAGTTGTAATAATTGGTGTCTAAAGATCTCAATGCCATAGTCGCCTATATTATAATCAACATTTGGTCTTCTCTTTTATAGTTGCATGATTCAGTGTTATTGCATTGTAACTATGGCAGCTAGAATAGTTGGCATGGAGAATCAAGTTCACACTTTGTACATATATCCAACTACTTCAAATCTTTTCCACCAAAAACTGTATAGAATACAATGTGAGAAGTTTGATAGATCAAGAAGACTGAAAGGAGGTTTCACACATTTCATCTTTATCCATAAAGCAATAAAAACAAATGTGCAATAAGGCAATAGGAGCCAATAGTATGAAAAAAAAAAGTTCAATGATAAATTTCAAATGATATTTATACTCCAAAGTTTCATCTCTACTTTACTGAATGACCTAGTTAAACCTAATACTTCTTCTAAAGACAACTTGGAGGTTGAAGAATGTAGGATATTTGGATAGAATTTATCTTATAGATGTTGTCTACTTATGTGGTAAGAATCAATCCTCAAGTGCTATAGTTTGAATCCTCTGATAATTATTCACATGAATGATGCCAATTTGGAAATTATTCAATCCAAAAATGCTATGTCAAGCATTTGGAGGCATCAATATTTTTTATTCTACTTGAATTCAATTTATTACAAAAAAAATAATCTTTTGACTTTATTATGATGAACATCAAGTTCTAACTGTGGATTGGATATTTTAGGCCGTCTTATTCTAGAATAAGCATATGAATTCATTTGCAATATTTTTATAACAATCAAATTTTATTTATTCTAGCTATATCAAATTTTCTTTTATTTACATCAAAATTATACTCTATAAATTTTAAGTGAATAATAATAGAAAGATTAATTAAATTGCAAAGCTAATTGAGAGGAAAATTTGAGCAATTAATATTTTTTAATACTTTGGAGTATATGCATTAAGACTAAAAAGGAGGAATCACAACTTTTTGCAAGTCTCTGTAAAAGAACCATAAATAGAAGAATTTTTTTCTTGAATTTTTTGATTCTATAATACACACATTTAACATCTTTTAGCTATCATCTTTCTCTCTTCTATAATAAAAGTTAGGATATCATAGTTAAACACAGGTTTATATAGAGATTTTATAAGAAATAAAGTCATTTTATCATTTTATAGTTTTATATTAATAATTTTGATTTTTATAATTATATTTATAATTTTTATAGTTATATTTTAAATATAAAAATAATTTTAAATTATAAATATAACTATAAAAATTATAAAAATTATAAAAATTAATTTTTATAATTTTTTATAAAAATTATATTTTATAATTATTTTTTTATTTTTATAATTATATTTATAATTTTTATAGTTTTCATATTACATTTATTATATTACATTTCATATTATATCTTCTTTGTAAATATAATTCTTGAGCAACAATGTTTTATTAGAATTTTAGGAGTATTGTCAATTACAACAAGAATTGTTGTATAAAAATTAAATTGTAGGAATTTCATTACTTCTTCTTATTAGAGATTTTATATATTCAATTTCATATGTATATATATATATATATATATATATATATATGTATATATTTGTATAAATAAAAAATAAATAATCATATATATTTTTAATAAATATTATTCATTAAATGAGGAATTCGATATTTATTACATTATTTATTCATGTTGATTTTCAAAATGTAACATTTTAGAAAAATAAAGCTTTTTGTTGTAACAAGTTGTTGTAAACATATATATAATTGTAATTAGTAAGAATGCATAAATATAAAATATTTTTTATTAAAGCACTATGGCATTATAATTTGATCAATTAAGCTATATGAGCTTATTTTTATTTTATAATTACTATGTAATTTTAATTGAATAATAAGGTTTTATTGGAATTTTAAGGAGATACAATTTAGACATGTAGAAGCTTACTCCAATTGTCTAGTGCAATCTATGCCATTGTGAACGATCCAGCTTTAATAATGAATTAAAGAACAATTACTCAACAACAACATAGGAAACTTGACAGAGTACAAAGAGAAGTTGAAATAATTATAAGTGTTGAAGCCACCTGTGCTATTGTGAATGGTTTAGCTTTAATAATAAATGAAAGAACAATTGCTCAACCACAAAATAAGGAATATGAGAAAACACAAAGAAAAGCTAAAATAGTTACAAGTGCTAAAGCTATATACAATTTGGAAAGGATGGATGTTTTATATCTTCATTGTAATGCATTGCATTGGTTTGATGAACATTTAGCCTGATCGCCAAAAAAATAACTATTATTTGAATAATTTTGTCATCAAAGAAAAGTTTCTCTACCATCTCTATACTCTCATCCATTATTTTTGAGACACTTATTTGAGAATCAAGATGCAAGAGTAAAGAAGCTTCAAGAAAATATTTATAAGTAAAATGCTTTATATACATTTAAGTCCTTAGATGCAAATATTAATCAATCTATGCTTCAAAGAAATGTTCTATATAATTTTAGAATAAATAGAAATTTATTGTCAAGGACAAGAACGTGATAAAAACAAATAAACAAGTAAAACCTTTCTCAAAGAAAGATGGAAAAATAGAAATAATTAAATATGTATATCAAAAAAGAAATTGGAATGGCTATTGTCAAAAGACAAGAAAACTAGAGACCCTTGAAACTAGATTAGAAGCAAGAAAAGAATTGATAAGAGTGAAGAAAGCTTCACTCTTACCTCTATATATACTATCTACCTAGGAACTACGTGGCAATGTTCTATAGGACCTCTAAAAATGTGTTGACTTTGCACAACACATATCTTAACTTGCAAGGCAAGTTTTCTATGTGGGCGCCACATAATTAGCTCGT